GGAAGGCTTCGGAATGTATGAAACGTCCAAATACGATAATATTGCAAAAGAAAATGTTCACTTTTATGCGGAGGCGACGTGGACAAAAACACGTAGCCCACTCGTAGATTTTAGACACGTGTGCGAATTAACAGAGCGCTTTCGCAACTGATCGAAACCCAAAGTGATTGATCACTCGGCAAAGACATCACCTGGCAAACTATACCATACTTGTCAAACACCCAAGTAAGTGTCAATACCCAAATAAAGCAACTTTATAATAATCTTATTAGTAAACCATAAATTTACAAGTTTCTTAGTATAACCAAGCGCCTACACTGGTACAAAATACCAAACCGACATAATTTCTCGAAGCCTGGATAAAACAGTTTCACGGACTCGCGTACGGGACCCCTGGTTACTCATGAATTAAAAGATGGGACCAAGGTCAACTACATTGGGATGTAAAAAGATCAAAAAAGCTTTAAAATGGAAAAAAAACTATTGGCGAACACGCGAAAAAATATTAAGTCGCGGAGAGATATACAGAAAATTATATTGCAAAGTTATTCTCAAATTTCTGAACACAACTATAGACATAGAATCAACGTGAATTTATTAATTAAGCTATTTCATTGATTGGCTGTATTGTGAGAACGCGTAATTACGGCTATCGCGGGTGGACATGGCATCGAATACAATTAAAGGATAAATCCGCAAACAAAATTCCAACTGCCAATGGTTAAGTTCGTCAATATGACTCTTTCTCGTGTATTATGTCGACTTATCTCTGCTCTTAAATCAACCTTCCTGACATGTTTTTAACGACACGGGATTTCGACTTTCTTGGTGCTATGAAATAAATATTAAAAATCGCGCTGTGCATTACGTTTATTTAGGTTTCGGAACGATATAATGAACACTAAACATAATAAATAATAACATCATAAATTTAGTTTTAGTAGTCTCACGGCAGATAAAAATGAGATCTAAAAGCTATTTCAGATACGGTAAATCGCAAACATTTCGTATGTCCACAACCCGCTTCATGCTCAGTTACCGACGAAAACGGTACGCACGCACTGGAGATGAAAAATACTGTCGATTTCGCGCTTATACGAGCGCTGTTAAAATGAATTTAATAGGCATCATAATAAAATAAAATCCAACCCTCCTAATATAACTTCAATTCTACCTGAATAAAATTGTATTCTTTGGGGTTGTTGGGGTAAAAGCGGTATAGATTGAAGTATAGTCGAGTTCTTACAATTCTGATTGCATGACATTTTATTACCGGTCGTAGATTGTAAATTTTCCGCAACAGAAAAATCAATGTCAGTAGAAAGCCAGCTCTTTTATTAACAAGTTTTGTGATTGTGGTGTCGGTTTTAGAGTCCAGTGCAAAAGAATTTCAGAGCTGTGGTATGTGAATTTCGACGAAAAATTGAAAGAAACTAGAACAGATTGCTCACTAATGTAGTGTTATTCACCTTAGTACACAGAAAACGATTGGTATACGAAGGTTTACAGCTATGGTATGGGTCGAATATACTCTACACTAGATCTATTTAAGTATTTTCGCCAATAGTCAAAATTACCGAAGTCCGGTCTTTCCAAAAATTATATTTCAACTATGTAAACAAAATTTCGAATGCTCGTTTGATTTCGAAAATATAACTAAAAACTGACAAATATCATGCAAAGCGTGAAGAAATTGTTTTTAAAAACATTCATAAAGAATAAATTCATCCTTTGACTTATTTTTATACGTAAGTGCACTGTAGCGGTACCACACAAAAAAACGCCTAGATCTAGCTGTCGCTCAAACACGCGAATGTAACCGTAGCCTACAATTTCAAGAAATAAATGTTTGTCACTGAAAACTAAATCTAAAACAAAAATCTATAAGTTTTGAAGCTTGCCTTCTTGGGGTCAGTACAAGTCTTTTAATCTAACTTGGCGATCACAGAATAATAATTTTTACGTTTTAAACGTTGTACATTCGTGTTTTTAGTTTTTTTGCGTCTCTGGAAAATTCGCCGTAGGAAATCTCGCCACATGAAATTTCGCTGCAAAAACAAGTATTTGAGTAGACCAGTATTTGTGATAAAAAAAAAATTTAGATTTATAGGGTTAGGGTGATTTTCGAAATGCGACGAATTTCCCAAACCCGTTTTTGTGTGTAATATGGGTAAACTGGCACATGCATTTCCACGTTTCTCAAATCTTTTTAGAAGTTTTGCGGTTTTTCCAATCGTTTTCATTGTTTTGTGGATGTTGTCAAAATAAACCTAAACCTTATAAACGGGTTTACAATCCTTTATATAATGAGGGTTCGGAAAACTTCAGAACTGAGCATATAGACTGTAAAATTGGTCGTACAACAGACGGACAGACAATCTGCTCTGGTAATGGATACTAGGCAATCGCTATTGATAAATACTGACGTGGTGCCTAAATTTGCTCGACCGACATTTCTTTATGAAGCCAAACAAAGCGAATGTTATCCATTTTCGGTGTTACGAATTGACCATCATTTAAATTTCTTGGTCTAACCAAATAAGATACTTTGAATGATTTTCCGTGCAGGATTAATAAAAAAATCAGATTGCCGAAAAAGCCGCCCAAAAAGTTTAATGTCAAATACGATCTGAAGGAACATTAAATTCGACACTTTGTTGTCATTGCGCCATCCACTTCTAGGTTTCAAAACCGAGGATTATCTGTCAAAGAATGAAACTCACAGCGTGATCAGTTTACATTACAACTACCGGTAGATTCAATTAATTCGTTCAACATACTTGTTCGTGTGTATAGAATAACCATCTTACAACAGTACCAGATTCGTCATATTAAACCTGAAATTCTTCATCTTTCGGTCAGTCAAAACAGGTTTCATTTGGTAACTAAAAAAGGCCGCCTGGATTTTAAAATATAAATTCGTTCAAAGTTGCAGAGATATTTGCATCTAATGACGAACTTGGGAATTATTTCGAGAATTATTGTTTCAAGTACACGCTCCAACAATGTATGACTAAACTAAACTAGATTTAACGCACATCTCAATGCAGGATAGTATCGGTACGGCACATGAACCCTGTCATAACATCAATTGTCCGGTTCTTCTGCTCTTAATTCATCTTATAACAGGAGTCTCAAACTCGCGGCCCGGGGGCCATCTGCGCCCCGCGGTACGATAGTTTGCGGTCCCCGCCTCAGTATGAAAGCTTAATGATAGTGTGTCACTTAGATCAAGTTGCATGATTGGCGATGAATATATTTAATATAAGTTTTTTTTAACATTAAAATCACTAATTAAAGTATTATTATTTACCCTAGTTATTTTTCAATTTAGTCTCTCTCGTCTCAATTTGGTCATTTATGTTTTCAACTTGTTTTGTGTTGAAAGAAATTTGAAAAGATTTGAATTTTTTAAATTACGGTAAGCTTTCATTGTGGAAAACCTGATGCGGCCCGGATCCACCCAGACTCTGCCTCCAGTGGCCTTGGGTAAATTTATTTTGAGAGCCCCGTCTTATAGATATAACATCAGATTCAAAATGATTTTGCCTAAAATAAATTCGTCTTAGATCAGGGGTCTCAAACTCAATTTACTTGGGGGCCGCGTCTGAATGAGTCCGGGCCGCATCAGGTTTTCCACAATAAAAGCTTAGCAACTCGTTTAAATTGTATTCCTTGTGCACTGCAACTATAACTGTGCAGATAAAACATGTCGGGATGCTCCTATGTTCAACAAAGAAATATTGCATTTCCCAGTTTTTTGAAATTGTCTGTGCTCATCACCAACCTTCCTGTTTACTAAAACTTCACTTCCAACGACACGTTTAGGGATGTGCGAAATTATAAAATTCCATCTTGTAATAACTGTTGCGCTGATGTTTCAATCAAGCATTTAGCCGATGGACAGTGATGTTGCACCACATGGGAAACATGGTTACAATGTATCAAGATAAATCTAAGCGTTAGTGATTGTGACGTCAAAAATCATGGAACACTGTTTTTAAATTATTTCAGGCGGTCCCGCGATCGAATATCAGGCCTACAGATATGGTACTGGTAGGTTACCGCATCGCATATTCCTTTCAGGGGATAGATGATAAAATATTTTGTTTTGCCCTACGTGACTGTATCTTATATTACGGAGTTTCCCTTTTTCGGCCACGGAACACTCACACTTTTTATATCACCTCGCGGAACACCAAAAAATGAAAGGATTAAATTGATAAGGAAAAACTGTGCAATGTAGGGGTTCCCAATTGTTTCGCCGTGGCGAGTTGCAAATGCGCGACAAACTTTCAGCATTTCGAAGTAAAACCAAGTGGAGATGGAGGAAGAACGATTGACCTTTTGCCTTTATTCTTTAGACTTACTTGTTTGTCTTTAACAAAACCAAAGTTACTGTAAATTTGATAATGAAATTAACAGTCAAAAAGCTTAACCGACGGTCAACGAAAATGCCATTACCCTAACTTAGTCCACTTTAGGCCGACGGTGACGAGATTTCAAACGGTCAGTTGGGCAACAACTTCATGATTCTCAGATCGCCATGGCGACCAATTTAGATGTATTTTTGATTCCTTTTCCACGCAACACTCGGAAGATGCTCGCGGAACATTAGTGTTCAGCGGAACACAGTTTGGAAAGCGCTGTTATATTGAAAGCATTAATCATGCTAACTGATCTAAGTGACTTGCGGGCCGCACTAACAATAATAATACCAAGGCGGGGGCCACAAACTATCATCCTGCGGGCCGCAATTGGCCCGCGGGCCGCGAGTTTGAGACCCCTGTCTTAGATTCTCCATCTTCAATATCAAAGGGTTTTCTTTCGGAAAATTGCAGCCGGGCTTTTGAAATATAGATAATTCACTGATATAGAAGAGAGTATGTATCGGATGCTGCTGATACCTTGATTTAGACCAGAGGTTGGAAAGGTATTTGAACCACAGCTAAAAATTTTGCCCACCCAGACTGGCGACCATGCAAGTGTGACGTAAAAAGTTACATTTTATAAATAATATTTACAGTGTTATAAAAGGAAAAGTCGAAAACAATAAGCCACGTGCTAAAACTAAATTTAACCGCAATCTCAACCAATTCCTTGATCAATTTTTTAGCTGAAACATCCAAATTCGGTTTTACCTTGGTTGTGGCAGCATCGGGCGGGCCAGATTCAAGTATCCAACGGGCTGGTTTTGGCCCGTGGGCCGTAGTTTGCCCATGCCAGATTTTAGACTCTACAAGACAACTTATACAAATCCCGTGAATTCCAAACATGAGCCACAAGTTATATTTGAATATCCAAATCACATTTGCCTCTTAATATAACAGCAAACATCGGCCTCAGCGCTGCTATGTCGATCACTTTGGTTTAAATTACATTCTAAAAGTCTATATATTATTATTTCATCATAAAATATCAACTAATCTCACACACTAAGAATCGAGATGTTACGATCTTCCCCTAAAACTGCCTCTCTTAGGTTCAGGCATAAAGTTTTTGGGGTTCCTAATTGGCACGTTATAAAACAAGGGTGCTGCAGTAGCAGGTCTACAAATCAACACTCCTTTGCCCTTTTCTGGGCCAGTTTTTACGAGCCCTTTTCTTTTTTGGTTCGCCGTTTTTGGTCTTTGTCGAATTGTTGCATGTTTTTCTGCTATCATCATTTTGTGCTGGCGACGTACTGATTCCTTGGTGTCTTTGTCTGCTAGTGGGCCAATCCACGGTGCTGAATTACGATAAGATGGTGCGGGATACTCACTCACTGTACCTGTGATAAATATATTTCGGACTTCAGGTTGTGTTCCTTACTAATATTAGCGGCTTAAAGCCATAACCCATAACATAGATTTTCAAACCTTTTTGGTGTAGCAGAATACCAGAGGCTTAGGAACCCTATGAAATTGATTACAATAATTATGTGAAAACAGGGGTGACAACCTTTAATACAGACTGACCAGATACAAATAGCTGGGTGTAAACGCGGGCCGCACCTTTATTCGACCTAAGCTTTCTGGTAGTTGCAGGAACAAAAAAGCATTGCATCACCATAGGCATAGATAATAAATTGGGCTCAGGCCTCAAGTATAGGCTTTGCAACGCAAAGGATTGGAATTACTCGCATGTACCAGCTTTTAAATTAAATCAAAAATCTGTTTCGAGAGCCTCACACCATGAAAGACCAGCCCGGGCCACAAAATTTTTCCTTGCAGGTCACATTTGGCCCGCATGTTGCACACCCCTGATGTCAAATATGTCAATCTAAAAAATTTAATGGAACACAAGCGAAACAGAAATTTATATGAATATATTGTACCAGCGTATGTGTTCATATTCAAATAACATATGACTCTCAAACAAGACGGTAGGATTGTCGAACTAATACAGACTATGGAATTGGAATGGAAACTTGTGGAACCCATCGCCTGTACTGGTAAAATCCTAGCATATCCGTGGAAATCGCTGACCTAAACAGTTAATACGTTGAACATACTTTCAGTTCGGTTTTGCATCACATCCCAATGCGCTTCTAATTCAATCTACTGTTATCAGGGGTGTAGTAGCTTAGAGGGAATGTTTCGAGGGTCAGATCCCCCTCCCCTTTTTTGAAATGTAAAAAAGAAACATTTTTCTGTATCACACAGCATTGTTTCAGAGCTTGAAACACTTTTTAGATCCTCAACACACTTAAAAAACCACAATTTATTTAACCACTTTTTCATGTCAAGCGATCTTACTATCAATCTCCATCACCACCAATAATCAAGTTCAAAACCCCCCCTTTTGAAAATTCCCGTCTACATCCCTGGTTGTTACCATATTACCCCAGCATGTCACGACTGGTCAAAGGTTTTATAAAAAAGCACTGCTATAAAGTGACTTGAACCTTTGATTCTGACTCGGAAAAGTTTGAAATAAGAAATACAACGAGCTAACTTCACAGACCTTGCAGCCATGACTGCAGAATTGAAATTTACTGCTAAAAGTCAGACTTTCAAATCCACAGAATCAGTCGGACTTTTCCAGAGTCTTAGCTAAAAATTTGTTGGTTTGTTAGGTCAAAGTTTTCACTTTGAAGTAATGGAACGATACATTTGTCGTGTAGTCATTTTTCAAATAAATTGGGAGCATGAGAAATATTCTGTGGACTTTGTTAGTCTGTTACGACTTTTACATTTCAAGCAATCTTACTACCAACCACCATCAATAATTGAAGTAAAAAAAAGTTCAAACATTTAAAACCTTGTCTTGGAGAAGCACATTGTTTTTCATTGACTTTTTTCAGCCATTTCTGAAAGCATTCTTCATTTTTCCTTCTTCTTTCATCCTCTTTCTGTTTCTCTTCAAGTTTTTTTCTCCTTTCCTTTAAAAAAAATAACATCTACAAATCCTTTCAATGTTACCCGCAAAGCAAAGAGGTTGATTTTCAAAGAAAAAGCAAGTTGGTCACATTATTATTTCTTTGTAACAAATTTTAATAAACATTTTTGAAATTTTAACACTTGCTTTTTTATCTTAAAAATCTGAAAAAACATTGATTACAAGTTTAAGTAATGGCAAATCATTTTTGCAGTATATGGGACAGTAAAACAATATGATTGATGATTTTTTAAGAAACACCTGGAGTCAGAATATATATTGTCAAACTTCAGTATCTCCTCGAAAGCCATCCTGAAATCATTTTTTTAAAACCCCTTTTTCTTTCGTCTTGGCAGATTGCAATTTTAAGACAGGAGCAGGCTATAAGCTACCACAGTTAAAACCAAAGTAGCAATGTCACATTTTTCAGAAATGGACTGTTTTTGATATTGTGTCATTATGGACCAGGGAGCATTATTTGATCTTGGTTTCAAAGCTTAATCAGTTTTAGTTTTGATTCTAGGTAGAGCCTAATGTCCATTTTTGGCTGTACAGATACAAATACACAAAAATTTGATTTTAAGAGCAGGTTCTATTTTGTATTGAACTCGCTACTATAATTTCCCCCATTTCACAAAGTGTATATATAGGGTGTCCATAAAGTCTTAAAAAATTTTAAAATTACCAAGGAAATTTATCGATATCATATATTGTTTTGGCCCTCACAGATGCATTAAATGAAGTAAAAAAACTTGAACAATTACTGATTGAAAAACAACAAACCTGGTTAAGATATAGTGAGAACTGACTATAACAAAATTGAAATTGTAAAGGAACTTTATGGTATGTCAATGTGTAAGCTGCATGGCATATGGCACACATAAATCTAATACATAACATCTGAAACACCAAATATGCTGCGACGCACATAACCCATTTGCTGTGGTCGTGAGAACAGGTCTGTTTTATGGGGCAACAGCATAAAAAATTCAAAATAACAGGGAACCAAGGTCATCAGGAAAATATTGCTACCATTGTATATGTGAAGTCGACAGTTTAAGTTGAAATTCGAATATAATCCGCAATGCGCTGAAAACTTATAACAACAATTTTTAATATTATATGTAGCAATAGTTATCATATTAAATTGTCTTGGGGAAACATACCGAGACTTTATGAATTGAGAGGCTTCAAGTATCGATCAAAAACAGGTTTTCTGATTATCATGATATTCCAAGAACAGCTTCGGTTTGAATCCAACCACTATGTAAGAGTAATTAAAATACTTAAGTTGAAGACAGCATTGTGTACACCAGAGATCTGGCCCACTCGTGCCAGTAGAAATTATGAATATAGTTTTTATTGATATAAATTTGCATTGAAATTTTGATAAAAATAACGAATCATTGGCTAAAATTAAATCATAATTGCCCATGTATTATCTGCGCCTAAAGCTAATGTGCTATTGTTGTGCATTAGTTGTTATGCTAGGTATTTGTAAATAAACTTGTTTTTTATTCATATTGAGATTCGTGTTTATTATGTGTAACTGGCCCACTCAGGAAAGTGTAGACCAGGGGCGAGCAAGGTTTTTGGACTAAAGTTTTCCCATCTAGACTGGCAAGCCATGTAAATGTGACATAAGAGTTACAATTCATGTATTTGTACATAAGCAAAAATGGAGACCGATAAGCCTTGTGCCAAAACTGAATTTAAGCGCAATTTCAATGAATTCCTCGAGCTATTTTTTCAGCTTAAACATCAAACTTTGGTGTTTAGTTTGGCTAAGACAAGTTTATTTTTTCCAACCAGTAAAAAACAAAAAACATTCATAAATATAAAGAAAAATGATATTTACATTACTGGGAAGGGAAGGCGCAGGGAACCAATACCGGTTATCGAGCTGCGACACCCGTATGGCAGCATCAGGTGGGTCAGACTGAATTACATACCGGCCAGACGTGGCCTGTGGGCCGTAGTTTGCGCAGCTGTAGACACTGTTAGTCGAAGACTTACCTTCTCTTTTTGCTCTTTTTCAATTTCATTTCTCTTTTCCACCCATCTCTCGTACGCTTGTTTCGATTTTCTCTCAATTTCTCGTTTTCCTTGAACTTTCATTTCTTCCTTCAACATTTGTTCACGCTTGTCAATTTTCGTCTGTAACTTCATCTGAAAATAGTTAAGTTTGTTACTTAAATATTTCTTCGTTTAATTTACTTTCTTTACTACATAGGTGAAAAAAGGGCGCTCTAGAAGTGTATGTACCGATATGGAGGTAACTAATTTTGTTCGATTACTTTATATCAAGTTGTGTAAAGGGACTGAAACCTATGGGCAGGAGGTATATTCACTTGGCTAACACAGACAGTCGTAATAGAACTAAAATAAGGAAAATCGGAATAAAATTATGGCCGAACCCTAATCTGGTACACACCCTACGGAGGTACTCTCATTTTTAGCGTCCAATGCATAAAACAGCATATTTGCAGAATTCAGAAAAACATAGCATGTTTGAATCCAACACTAAGTCACTAACTCCGAAGTTTCAACGTTTATAATTCACCTTCAATAACTTTTCTTCACACCACTGCTGATGTTTTAATTCAGCTCTTTTCTTTAAATCTTCCTTTTCCATTCTTTTTCTTTCCTCTTTCTTTCTCTTTTCACTTCCTTTTCTTCTTTTTCAACTTGTCTCTATAAACACAAATAACTGCATCGTTAAAGCCAACCAAACCAGCGTTGGATACAAGGATCTACACCTTAAATTAAATGTCAAGCCGGTCCAAGCTCTCAAGTTATGCTTGGATGCTGCGATTGCTTAGTGCAGTGTTTCCCAACCTTTTAAAGTGCTCCTGGCCCTCTTCCGAAGGCCACCTACAACAATTTATCGTACTTTCAATAAGTAACAGTATTTTGGATTCTAGGTGGACACAAGATTTACACTGGTATCGACGTGGCCTATTTCAGTTGAATTGTTATGTAAATTAGTGGATGATCAGTTTTGTGGAAACAATATGTAGCGTCGCAAAAAACTAAATCATATTTCACCAGAAAATTTTGAAATGAGATATTTATCCAGACTCAAAATAAGTCTATCAGTAGGTGTTCTAGATCATTTTGTCAAAACAACAAACTTTCGTAGTTTTACAAAGGTGACTAACGTCTGGTCAATTACACTGTCACAACCAGCATTCATTTGAATATCAAAAGTATAACAAACTCCCTAAAACAAGAAACAACGTTAACTGAAAAACCATGGCTTGAATTGCATACATACCTGTATTTTTATGTCTTCTCTCTCCTGTTGTAACTTTTTGATCAACCAATCTTCCCAAACACTCAAATCTTTTCTGTCACCCTCTTGTGGCATTTTCATTAATTTAATAGTGTTGTCATGAGAATTACAATCTAAATGATAATCAGTTGAGAAATCGAATAGTATGAAATGAATTCCTATATTAGCCTGTGGCATGAAAAAGAAGTGCATTAGCAAACAAGGACCCAATTTTCATAACTCCCAGCCTGTGGTACGATGGAGCTTTTCATGTGGTACGCAAGCGACTTTGATTTATTGAAACAATTAAGATTTGAGTTGGCTGACGCTTCATACTGTATGTATTCCCTTAGCAACACCCATAGTGCTACTGCTACCAATCCTTATCTTTGGAGATCGCCCATGTCCACTACTGCCAACTTATTACAAAACGAGACGGGTATATTTACTCGTTTATACTCCCATAGCGCATTAATTGTGCCATTGTTCTCTGCCATTTGTGGCAATTTATGGAATATTTGAATTAATTTTTTATATGATTGAATGGCAAATCCCAATTTTGACCAAGGACCAGGTCATCAATTAGAAATAAGAATAAAGAAATTCAATGTAACCGTATATTTTAAGTAATAAGCATGCTTTAACAAACCCTTATTATCAATTAGTTAGATGAGCAATAACAAATGATAACTAAATTATAGTATTAGTATGTGGAATTGTATAAACAGCAGAACGCATATATCGTTGGCAAGTTTCTCAGGCAAATAACAAAACCATCCTACCCTTCAATGGCGAAGTTCGTCGAATTATTCGCTCCCTTTTCGGTGGAGAAGATGAGGGGCCTGGCGCTGACGACGGGACAAGATTTTTGGGTTTGTCTTGTTGATATCTCGTAGTTGATGCATACTTAGGTGGTGGAATCCTACAGAACAAAGTTGTTGTCATAAGAAACAAATTAAATATAATAACCGTAATACTGGCGCACCATGCATAAAGGTATAAGTTTCAGAATTCCATTTGAAGTAAATTTGATAATGAGCAATGAGGTAAAATGCATGTCATGTCCAACAGTAAGGCACACTTTTCAATTTCCAAGAATGTCCTGTCATTCGGTTCAATAAAACCAACACTCCATGTGTCTCACAAACAGAGGGTATATGCCACGACGGCAAAGATGACGTTTTTAGATTGCGCTTCTTTGTAGTTTTTTGCCCAACCTCATTTTACTGTAATTTTACCGATATTGAGGGACAACTATGTCCAGATGTCCCCGAAAGGAGAGGTGTTTGTTTGTTCATTGACAAAATAGGATTTTCTGAAACGAGACAATGTCTCTCACCTTTCGCTTTTTGTTGGTTTAATTATCCAAAATCACTAGTTCCGATTATAACTTGATCTGTGAAGTGTGCCGTACTGTCCTAAGAGATAACCGCAAATATCTTTTACATCATCTCTAGATATCTCATGGTAATGTGTTTTAGTAGCAAGTGACTATCACTACAGCACTATATATATAAATATAGTCACACAATTTTTAGGAAATCTATAGTAAGATGCATTACTGCATTATCCATGACATTACAGCATTAGGTTGACAGACATTGCAGCATTGGGTTGAATTGTAAAGATGTTACTAAACATCACTGGCAGACTGAATACCTAGCTGGTTCAATGTGTATTAAATAACTGTGTACCGGTAACACAACTTGAATCAAATCGTGACAATAAAGAGGTAAAGTGATTGCTGACAATTGAAATCCAAATCATACCTGCATACGGTACCGTAACGCCAGAAGACCAAAAAGTCTGTAAACTGGCTTATTTTATACAATCCATCAATTATAAAATACCGGTACTGGTAACATAAATGGAAAAACATACAGCAATGATAAACTACCGGTACCGGTACCGTACCGTATTTGCCTGCTAGAATTGAATCATTCTAATAACAGGAATATGGTACCGGTACCGGTACGGGTGAATACGGGTAGGTACCGGTACCTGGGGTTTTAACTTTTATGTAGTTTCGTACCTAACATACTTCTAGTGGGCGTAGCATGACAATTTTTTATCGTATCAATCCTAACCCCCACCTGACTACACCATCCAAAAATACGTCAACACGACGTCACAGTGACGTAATAGAGCCCTTCAAACTATACGAACTGCCATCCAAGACGCGCAAACGAGCACCCGAAATCGAACAGTTATTTCTCTCGTTTTCTCGTCGCAACGATTCCAATAGGAGAGAGATCGATGATGTCAGTCAGTTCTTTATCGTCGGCGCCAATGCCATTTCGAGCGATTGTACGGATATTTGGCAAGCAATATGACGTCATTGACGTGATTGTGATGTCGTAGTGACGTAATTTTTGGATGGCGTAGTCAGATGAGGGTTAGGATTGTGTCGACGTCTCTGCGAGGGCACGGTAATAATAACTCGGTTCGGGGACTTGGAAACAAATGGTAAAAGTCAGAAACAGTTTATACCTGGAACGAATGACAACGAAAGAATTTTGTTGAAAGAAATCTAAATACTTCGACATGGTTAATAATGGGGAAACATGGTATTTGAACTGGACACAGGGAGAGCGAGGTCTGATTCAATGTATTTCACGGAAAAAGCATGCATACTTGAGACTTTGGGTCGGTAACTGGTGTCAGATCTATCTGTCTATGTTGATTTAATGACTGACCAATGACCATCATTCGCCAATGCTAAGGATTTCAAATTTTGGAGTGAAAACTTTCTAAATTCTAACCACAAGAAGCAACGCCCGAAACGAGTTTTCGAGTTTTTATATTTGTTGTTTACTTTTTGTTTTGTATACGCTTTGTTTGTTTACCAAGTAAAACAGAAGCTAATCACCTAAATGCTATATTGGGATTTGCATTTCGGCACAAGCACCGTCACATGACTTCAAATTGTTTTCACCACTTTCGCTCATCAAAATTCATAAGTATTGCCCGAGAATTTTACTTTCTCGTGTTAATGTTGGTACATTATGGTGGCCCATCGTTGTCACGCGTACAATTGAAAATAAAAATAAAAAATAAAATAAAAAACCGAAAATAAAAAAATTGTTGTAAAAAAACATAAAAATAATTAAAAAAAAATTGAAATTAAAAAAAAATAAATAAATGAAAACGAAAAAAAAAAAAAAAATTAGAAAAAAAAAAAAAAATTTGAATGAAAAGAAAATAAAAAGGTTGACAACGACGGTCCGCCTCGTGGCCCATCGTTGTCACGCGTTTTTATTTTTAGAAAATTTGCTTCTGCTTGGGACCAACGTTGTCAGGCATAATCCTACGCGCACAAATGTGTTCCCTGGGTTTCAAACTCACTACTGATTTTCTTGAGCAATATTCAATATGAAAATGTTCTATAAATTCTCCATGCTACAAGTTCAACAAGAAGTAATATATTTATAATAATGATAAGAGAATATAGAATTGAATACGAAAATTTGTTTTTACGTGTATAAGGTAATTTAAGTGGAGAATGCTGCTTAACTACTCAGTTGTCTGGACACTCGCGATGCCGGTACCGTACCGTCTTACCAAATACCGGTAGTCGGTTATAGTCGCTTTGCGTCTGGCCGTACCGGTAGCCATACAATTACTCATGAAAGAGTGGGAGATACGGATAGTCTCGTAGAATATAGACTACTGAAACACTCTCTGCGCCTGCCCCATACCGTACAGCCGTAACGTACCGATCCAGACAAATGATAAATCGCCCGTGCTCAACCATTTATTTCAATCCATACCTCGATCCTAGTAGAATATAGTGAGTCGAGGTATGGATTGAAATAAATGGTTGAGCACGGCCGATTTATCATTTGTCTGGATCGGTACGTTACGGCTGTACGGTATGGGGCAGGCGCAGAGAGTGTTTCAGTAGACTATATTCTACGACACTATACGTATCTCCCATTCTTTCACGAGTGATTGCATGGGCACCGGTACGGTCAGACGGTACCGTACCGGCATCGCACGAGTGTCTGAGCAGTTAAGCAGCATTTTCCAATTAAATTACCTTCTACACGTAAAAACAAATTTTCGTATCCAATTCTATATTCTCTTATCATTATTATAAATATATTGCTTGTGGTTGAACTTGTAGCATGGAAAATTTATAGAACATTTTCATGTTGAATTTATTGGATATTGCTCATGAAAATCAGTAGTGAGTTAGAAACCCAGGAAACACATTTGTGCGTGTAGGATTAAGCCTGACAACGTTGGTCCCAAGCAGCATCAAATTTTCCAAAAATAAAAACGCGTGACAACGATGGGCCACGAGGCGGACCATCGTTGTCAACCTTTTTATTTTCTTTTTATCCAATTTTTTTTTTTTTTTAATTTTTTTTTTAATTTTAATTTTTTTTTTTGTTTTATTTTTCAATTTTTTTTTAATTTCAATTTTTTTTTTATTTCTTTTTTTTCAAATATTTTTATGTTTTTTCACAACTATTTTTTCATTTTCGCTTTTTCATTTTATTTTTTCATTTTTTTTTTTAATTTTACACGTGACAACGATGGGCCACCATAGTACATGCTGTTTATAAATTTTTTCAGTATAATTGCCGTGATGTGTTTTCCACTTGTGTGAGTGTGGGTAAATGGGCTCAAACGCTTCCAGCGTTCGCTATAAACCTTTCTCTAGGTTTTGCTCATTTTCCCGATCTTTTCGTCGCCCTTGTCTTTGTTTTTTATTTTGTGTTCAGTGTTGTCAGGTTGTGGACGAAAGATCAAAATAAAATTGTATTGTATTGCAAGTTAACTTAGATTTCTATACATTGTTTGAAACGGGTTTCCGTCCACACTGGAATGTGATTTTCTTTATAATTCATTGTGAGTTGTATGTCTAGATCGTATTCTCAGCGAAAAAATGAACTACTGAATAATATTCACTAGAATAATATTGCGGGCAGTTTGATAATTGACGTTGGGCTTTACTTTAAAAACAAACTGTAGTTGTCTAATATGAACAGAGTTCAACCCATTAAAACAGATCGAGGTGAAGCATGTCCCATAGCGAGACAAACGGGTTGCCAGAAATATTCCACGAGTAGTAAACACAGACGGAGAGAAAATGGCGCACCACGGCCTTTCGTACGGACTTTCACTATTTGCTACGTTATTCCCATCGATGTTATTTCATGCAGCGACTTTGACATTAATAACAGTTAACTAGACAATCTGGCTAAGCAGTGGTTCTCAAACTTTAAGCCGCGCCTCCTTTTAGAATTTTTCTCGCGTCTCGCCACAAAAATAACTAGATAACTATAAGCTACAAATAACAGGTAGTAAGGAGAAATCATGTTTTATTCAAAAACATGTTGAAAATACGTTGAGGGAATCGCAATCTCTAAACAATAACGAAATGTAAATATCCAAAATAAGGCGGGCAAGGACAAATCTAACAACTATTTTTATTTTTAATTAGCTTCACGCTTCCTCCAAAGATGGTCTACTATTATCATAATACACATTGGAGCGCACAATAAAAAGTCAATAGAAGTCAGAGTTAATTGTGTCTGGCTAACGATCAAAGCTGGAATTTCTAATGAGTTGAATTCCTTTCAGGAATGAATTTATTTATTTTTGAGGTATTATCATAAAGTGTTGCTAATATTGTTTATTTATTCAGTATTATTAAAATACACATTAAACTGTTCAAATTTGCAAAAGTCAGAGTGCAAGTTGACCGTAAAACTAACTAATTAATGATCCAATAAAGACGAACAATAATCGAAGTTTTTATACTACCGATGGGTAATGAAAAGTTCGAAATAGGCAACAGAAGGAATGCAGCAAAATAGGGGATAATGGTGTTGATATGTTTCCACTAGAATCCCTAGTCGTTATATTATTGGCTTTAGTTATTTTCTTTGATGGGAATATTTTTTGTGCAAAATATAGATAATTTATATACGACTTGGCGCTTTTTATATAAATTAAAGTCAAATGTCAGTGAACTGTACCGATGTTATATGAAAATGTGCCAACGAATTATAAAGCTAGCAAAGTCAGATGTAAATACCTGAGAACTCATTTCCTTTAAATTAAACATAAGACCTCTCTTGTTTGTTTCGGTGGAAAAATATATCAACAATATAAATTTCAACTAAAGATTAAATTTAATAGCGAAGTCATCTTCAAGTTACGTGTTGGTGATCGTTGATTGAAAACGCGAACCAGGTGTTTGGAAAGAAGTCTAAAACGCCCCACAGGGTTTACTCCACAGTTCTTCGGTGAGAGCACAAGCAAAGTGCGATGACGAACGTGTCTCTGAATATGTATGTTGGCCAGTTTATTGGCGAGTGTACCAATTTAATATAAAAGTCACAATTCCGCAGCGCGTGTTCTACTTGACTTGCAGTTCGACAACATGACCTGAAATGCCGAAAGATTTCGAGGGAGTGAGAGTAGTGTAAATAGAGTACAAATTCTTCTGTGGGTCGTTGATCCACAATTACAAATATAGGTAAGGCATCGATAAAATCGGCCAAGTAAATTGCTTAAGTGTTTAAAGTCGACTTTCATTCTACTATGCCTGAGTTAAAGTTGTTTCAAACCGCGTACATAATAATAAGCCCGCGTGGTGAATGCGCCGTAATTATCTGAATAAGAGTTCGTGTGTGTGTCGTATGATCAACTAAGTGGCACCTAAGCTTTCTACACCTGTGAAGCCGGCAACAAAATATTGAATTAGAATGAAACAAAAAATAAGA